AAAAATTGGGCTGGGCATGTTGGCTCACACTTGTAATCCCAGTGCTTTGGAAGGCTGAGGTGGGAGGATTGCTTGAGGCCAAGAGCTTGAGGCCAGCCTGGACAGGATGGTGAGACTCTATCTCTATGAAAAAATTTAAAAAGCCAGGCATGGTGCCTTGCATCTGGAGTTCCAGCTACTCAGGAGGCCAAGACAGGTGGATCACTTAAGCCCAAGAGTTTGAGGCTGCAGCGAGCTATGATTATTCCACTACACTCTAGCCTGGGCAACAGAGCATGATCCTGTCTCTAAAAAACAAACAACCAAAAAACAGTGTATCTTGGAGATCAATCCTTAACATATAGAGATGAGTATAGAATAATAGTTTAGACTAGACAATAGTTTAGGTTAGAGTGGCAGTTCTGAACTTTTGAACTCCGCAACACTGTATACTCTAAAAAAATTACTGATAGGAGTGGTCCAGGAAGAGAAAAAAAATTACCAAAGACCTCAAAAGAGCTTTTGTTTATATGACTTGTATCAATCCACATTTACTATACCAGAAATGAAAACAAAAATTTTCTAAACAGTGATGATATAATTACATGTCATGTAGCCTCTCAAAAACTCTACTGTACAATCATGAGAAAATCAGTGAAAAAGATAAGTAACATGTTTGTATCATTATGACTACAGTTTTAAACTTGTATACCTATCCCTTAAAAGGGTCTTGGGGCTCCCCAAACACCTTTGAGAACTGCTGGACTAGAGATGAACTCTGGAGTCAACATGCCTTAATTTAGATTTGATTTTGCTGTGTACTTAACCTCTAGAGCTTGGTGTTATCTTCTGAAATGGGCTAATAATTATACCTATATTTCTCAGAGTTGATTTTATGATTAAAGTCTTCATCAAAGAGCTTGAAAGCATCTAATACTAAATAAATGTTAATTAGTATCATATATCTACCTCATTCTTTTTTTTTGAGATGGAACCCAGGCTGGAGTGCAGTGGCAAAATCTTGGCTTACCGCAACCTCCCTCTGCCTCCTGTGTTCAAGCAATTCTCCTGCTTCAGCCTCCCGAGTAGCTGGGACTGCAGGATCGTGCTACTATATCCAGCTAACTTTTTGTATTTTTAGTAGAGACAGGATTTCACTATATTGGTCAGGCTGGTCTCAAACTCCTGACCTCAAGTGATCCACCTGCCTTGGCCTCCCAAAGTGCTGGGATTATAGGCATGAGTCACCACGCCTGGCCTACCTCATTCTTTTTCTTTTTTTTGAGACAGAGTTTTGCTCTTATTGCCCAGGCTGGAGTGCAATGGCACAATCCTTGGCTCACCGCAACTTCCACCTCCCAGGTTCAAGCGATTCTCCTGCCTCAGCCTCTAGAGAGGCTGGGATTTCAGGCACATGCCAGCACACCCAGCTAATTTTTTTGTATTTTTAGTAGAGACGGGGTTTCACCATGTTGGCCTGGCTGGTCTTGAACTCCTGACCTCAGGTAATCTGCCCGCCTCAGCCTCCCAAAGTATTAGGATTACAGGTGTGAGCCACTGTGCCTGGCTGACTTTTCTGTTTTATTATTTAAATGTCTCTAAAAATGTTTCCAGTCAGATCAATCCTCCTTCCACTGCTTGCTTTAGTGTTCAGTGTCTGTTACATAAAAGGGTCCATGTTGTAAAAGAAGTCAAAAGCAGTCCCAAATAACTGGAACCCACCTGACATATGGTCTAATGTCAGTTTGTTTTCTGGCACTGCATTTTTGATATCTTTCATCATTTCCTTGATTGGCTCTGTAGTCAGTCCTATGAGGTCATGCACAACATCTGGACATAGTTTTCTCCAGCAGAAATTTATTGTTTGGGGCTGATGGCTTTCACAGCTTTTTCTGTAACAATGATGGACTCTTGAATGGTGTAATCCCTTCAGACTTTCATGATGTTCTCTTTATTGGGGTCCTCTTCCATAGTATTGACAATCCTTTCTATAGAGCACTATGTGTAATGAGACTTAAAGGTACTTATGACCCCCTTCCTGATCTAGAGGCTGAAATTAGAGACGTATTTGGGGGCAAGTAGACCACTTTAATGCCTTTGGTGTTGAACTCATGGAGTTCTGAGTGGCCGGGGCCAAAAGAACTTTATTAGTTTTTAGAGACAGCGTAGGATCTCTGTCACCTAGGCTGGAGTATAGTGGCATGATTATAGCTCACTGCAGCCTCCAACTCCTGGGCTCTCCTGCATCAGCCTCCCAAGTAGCTGGGACTATAGGTGTGCACCATAACACCAAGTTATCCAAAATAACTTTTAAAAGGCAGTCCCGGCCAGGCATGATAGCTCATGCCTGTAATCCCAGCACTTTGGGAGCCCAAGGCAGGAGGATCACGAGGTCAAGAGATCAAGACCATCCTGGCCAAAATGGTGAAACCCTATCTCTACTAAAAATACAAAAAAATTGGCTGGAGATGGTGGCGCCCACCTGTAGTCCTAGCTACTTGGGATGCTGAGGCAGGAGAATCGCATGAACCCAGGAGGTAGAGGTTGCAGTAAGCCGAGATCTCGTCACTGCACTCCAGCCTGGGCAACAAGGGCGAAACTCTATCTCAAAAAAAAAAAAAAAATGAGTCAGGGCTGGACTTGGTGGCTCACGCCTGTAATCCCAGCACTTTGGGGAGGCTAAGGTAGGTGGATCACCTGATGTCAGGAGTTCAAGACCAGCCTGGCCAACATGGTGAAATCCCGTCTCTACTAAAAATACAAAAAAAAAAAAAAAAATTAGCTAGGTGTGGTGGCATGCACCTGTAGTCCCAGCTGCTTGAGAGGCTGAGGCAGGAGAATTGCTTGAATCCAGGAGGCGGAGGTTGCAGTGAGCCAATATCGCGCCACTGCACTCTAGCCTGGCACCTGGCGACAAAGCCAGACTCGTCTAAAAAAAAAAAAATCTACATTTCAAACCCATGCCGTTCAAACCTGTGTTACTCAAAGGCAAACAGTATTTTATTTTTTTAAAAAATTATTTATTTATTTATTTATAGAGACAGGGTCTTGCTTTGTTACCCAGGCTGGACTGCAGTGGGATGATCATAGCTCACTGTAGCCTCGAATTCCTGGGCTCAAGGGATCTACCTACCTCAGACTCCTGAGTAGCTGGGATTACAGGGGCATGCCACTACACCTGGCTAAGTTTTTATTTAGTAGAGACAGGATCTTGCTATGTTGTTCAGCCCGGTCTTGAACTCCTGGCTTCAAGTAATCCTCCCATCTCAGCCTCCCAAAGTTTTAGGATTACAGGCATGAGCCACCACGCTCAGCCTCAACTATATTTTCTTAATTTCATTTTTTGATTGTTCATTGCTAATATATAGAAAAACAATAATTTTTGTATATTGATCTTATATCCTATAATTTTGTTCAACTTAGTTCTAATGGTATCTGTGTGTGTGTGTGTGTGTGTGTGTGTGTGTGTGTGTGTATTTGTTAGGATTTTCTATTTACAAAATCATGTTATCTGTGGATGTAGTTTTACTCTTCTTTCTAATCTGAATGGCTTTTATTTCTTTTTCTTGCTTAAATGCCCTGACTTGATCCTCTAGTACAATGCTGAACAGAAGTGGCAAGAGTGAACAGACATACTTGTCTTGTTTCTCATCTTGGTGGGAAAACACCCAGTTGTTCACCTATAAGTATGATGTTTTAACTGTGGATTTTTGTAGATGAACTTTATCAGGTTAAAAAGTTCCCTTCTATTCCTAGCTTTTTGAGTGTTTTGTATTATGAAAGAGTGTTGGATTTTGTTTAATGGTTTTTCTGTACCTATTGAAATGATCATGTGATTTTTGTCCTTCATTGTATTAGCATAGTATGTTACATTGACTTGTGTGTTATACAATCCTGCAATACTGGGATAAATCCTGCTTGGTCAAGATGTATAATACCTTTTACATTGCTTTATTTGTTTTGCTAGTATTTTATTGAAGATTTTAAAATCTATATCTATAAGGGATCTTGATTGATAGTTTAGTTTTCTTTTTTTTGTTGTTGAGACGGAGTCTCGCTCTGTCACCCAGGTTGGAGTGCAATGGCATGATCTCAGCTCACTGCAACCTATATCCCCCGGGTTCAAGCAATTCTCCTGCCTCAGCCTCCTGAAGTAGCTGGGACTACAGGCTCCTGCCACCACGCCTGGCTAACTTTTGTATTTTTAGTTTCATCATATTGGCTACGCTGGTCTCAAACTCCTGACCTTGTGATCTGCCTGCCTTGGCCTCCCAAAGTGCTGGGATTACAGGCATGAGCCACCACACCCAGCCAATAGTTTTCTTATGATATTTTGTCTGATATTATATTTCTCATGAATTTTGTCTGGTTTTGGTTACAGAGTAATACTGACCTCAAAGAATGAGTTTGGGAAGTATTCCCTACGCTTGTAGTTTATAAGAGTTTATGAAGGATTAGTCCTAACTCTTCCTCAAACGTTTGGTAGACTTCACCAGTGATGACAGCTGGACCTGGACTTTTCTTCATTGGAAGTTTTTTTTTTTTTTTTTTTTCCAGACAGGCTCTCCCTCTGCCACCCAAACTAGAGAGCAGTGGTGCAATCACTGCTCACTATAGCCTCGACCTCCCAGACTCCATCAATCCTGCCACCTCAGCCTCCTGAGCAGCTGCGACTACAGGTGTGCACCACCATGCTTGGCTAATTTTTGTGGGGGGATTTTTGTTTGTTTTTTATTGTAGAGATGAAGTTTTGCCACGTTGGCCAGGCTGGTCTTGAATTCCTGTGCTCAAGTCATCCTCTCACCTCAGCCTCCCAAAATAATGGGATTACAGGCATGAGCCACTATGCCCAGCCAAAAGTTTTTTGATTGTTAATTCAATCTCCTTATTTGTTGTAGGTCTACTTGGGGTTTTTTTTTTTTTTTTTTTTTTGGAAATAAGGTCTCACTCTCACCCAGGCTGCAGTGCAGTGGCACTATCATAGCTTACTGTAACCTCAGACTCCTAGGCTCAAGTATCCTCCTGCTTCAGTCTCTAAAGTAGCTGGGACCACAGGCATGTGTCACCATGACCAGGTTTTTTTTTTTTTTTCTTTTTTTTTGAGACAGAGTTTCACTCTTGTTACCCAGGCTGGAGTGCGATGGCACGATCTCGGCTCACCGCAACCTCCGCCTCCCGGGTTCAGGCAATTCTCCTGCCTCAGCTTCCTGAGTAGCTGGGATTACAGGCACGCACCACCATGCCCAGCTAATTTTTTGTATTTTTAGTAGAGATGGCGTTTCACCATGTTGACCAGGATGGTCTCGATCTCCTGACCTCATGATCCACCCGCCTCAGCCTCCCAAAGTGCTAGGATTACAGGCTTGAGCCACTGCGCCCGGCCTTTTTTTTTTTTTTTTAGAGATGGGGTCTTGCTATGTTGCCCAGGCTGATCTCAAATTCCTGGTCTCAAGCAATCCTCCTGCCTGAGCACCCCAAAGCACTACTAAGGGTATGACCCACTGTGCCTGGCCTCCAGTTTTTCTTGAGTCAGTTTCGGTAATTTGTATCTTTCTAGGCATTTGTTGATTTTACCTAGGTTATCTAATTTGTTTGCATAGTATTTAGATTGGTAGGGATATCCTTTCTTCCTTTCTTCCTTCCTTCCCTCCCTCCCTCCCTCCTTCCTTCCTTCCTTCCTTTCTTCCTTCCTTCTTTCCTTCCTTCCTTTTTTGAGAGATAGGGTCTTGCTCTGTTGTTCAGGCAGGAGTGCAGTGGTGCAATCATGACTCACTGCAGCTTCAGCCTACTGGGTTCAAGCAATCCTCCTGCCTCAGCCTCCTGAGTAGCTGGGACTACAGGCACGTGCCACCACACCAAGCTAATTTTTCTTTTTTGTAGAGATGGGATTTCACTGTGTTGTCCAGGCTGTCTAGTTCCTTAAGGTAGATTAGGTTACTGATTTGAGGTCTTTAAAAATATATATAAGCATTTAGAGCTATAAATTTCCTTCTAAGCACTGTTTAAGCTGCATCCTATATATTTTAGTATGTCCTGTTTTCATTTTCATTCAACTCAAAGCATTTTCTAATTTTCCTTGTGATTTATTCTGTGACTTATTTGCTTATTAGGAGCTTGTAGTTTAATTTCCACATATTTGTGAATTTCTCAAATTTCCTTCTGTTTTTGACTTCAGAGGACATGTACTATATGATTTCAATCTTTTTAAATTTACTGAGGCTTGTTTTATGGCTTAAGATATGGTCTACCCTGGAGAATATTCTGTGTATCCTTAAGAAGAAAATGATTCTGTTATTGTTGATAGAATGTTCTATAAATTTGTGTTGTGTCTAGTTGGTTTCTGCTGCCTCTCTTAAAGCAGAAGCAGGTAGTCAGTTCATGTTATACCCTAATATTCCACTTCTACTCAGTCTTCCCTCTGAGGTCACGAAGCTAGTATGCTTCAATCATCATCATCGTCATCAGTCAATACTTACATAGCACAACCCCGTACTCTTCTAAGCATGTTCCATAAAATCACTCATTTAATCCCACCACGTGCTCACCTTTGCACTCCAAGCAGCTGTTCCTCACTATAAGTGGAGTTCCCCTCACCCTGCCGGGTCTGATTCCATTCATTCTCAGACTTCTTTTCCTTTTGTGCCTTCATGCAGTTACAACAGCCACAGGGGTCGTGACTCTCAGGTGGTGTGTCTTCTGGGTATTTGTTTCTTCTAACTGCATCAATGTAAGCTGCAAAGCAACAGCCCCTCCATTAGGTCTCCATCTGACCCTGAAAATCAACTTTTTGACCTACCTTAACTCTCTAGGAGGCTGCTCGTAAGCATGAGAAGGTAAGCATGATGGCCAGGGCTAAGGAGGTCATGCTGACTTTTAAGCATTCATATGAAGCTGAATAAACATCTGTTTCTCTGTGGTCAATGGTCAGAAGAGACACTGCTCATAAAATAGCATTTTTTGTTGCAGTGCCTCCCACCCCTAAGATTTAAAGTAGAGAGGAGTTCAATTCTTTTAATCTAACAATTATAGAACTAATATGTACCAAGGCACTTGGCTAGACAGATCAAGGGGGCAGATGAGTAAGACCTACTCTTGACCACAAAGAGGTTACAGTTTAATGCAAGCTTGTCCAACCCGTGGCCCACAGGTGGCATGAGGCCCAGCATGGCTTTTAGCCCAACACAAATTTGTAAACTTTCTTAGAACATTATGAGTTTTTTTGCAATTTTTTTTTAAATCTCATCAGCTGTCACAGTGTTAGTGAATTTTATGTGTGGCCCAAGACACCAAGACAATTCTTTTTCCAATGTGTCCCAGGGAAACCAAAAGGTTGGATACCCCTGGTTTAAAGGGAGAAGATTCAATACTAACACCTGTAGAATATAAAGAGGGTCATAAGCAATTCAGTCAAAAGGGACAGAGCACTCATGTCTTCTCTGGAGGACCTGGGAAAGCATTTAACATCCTTCTTCTGCTTAGCATCCCTCAGCTACTACCCACTGATCCTGGACACACTTCCTCTAAATCGGCCTAGCTAACTCCAACTCCAACACATCCTTCTTGTCACTGTTTCTAACACTTTCTGCAAGAAGCCTCCCTTGACAGCCAGTCTGCATTAGATGCCTTATCAGTGTGCTCCCCAAATCCCTGACCTTGCTATGTAGCCCAGGCCATTTTGTATTATTAGCCTGTTTTGTAATTGGCTCTTCAGTCATTAAACTGTCTCAGTGGGCGGCGAGTCGTGTGAGCTAAGGAACTCATGTCAGTCATCGCTGCAGAATCAGCATAATGCGGGGCACACAATAGGTATTGGATCAATACTTTTTGCCTGACTGTAGGGTGGAAAAGGCTAGTCCTGATGCCGGCTGGAGCGACATGATCAAACAGGGACTGAAGGTCAGGTGGCCCAGTTAGGCGGAGGATAGGGGCCAGGTTAGCAAGCTGCGGGGAGACCGCAGCACCCCACGGGCCCTCCAGTCACCCTGGCACGGGCGGGGCCTGACCCGCTGCGGGTCCTGGGCGGGGCACGGGCGGGGGCGGGGCTGGGGGCCGGAGGCAACAAGTCGTCACTGGTGACTCTGGCTCGCCGTCGGTCCCCAGCTTCCCTACCCCATCCTACTCTGGCTCAGCATCTTCTCACAGGCCTCCGTCCCTCACCTCAGGGCCAGGATCTCAGCCCTTGAGCGTCTTCAGGATCCTCATCCCTGATTTCTCCCGAACACCGCCCTGTCCCTCCCTCGGGTGGGGACCTAGTACCTTCCGTCCAGCGTTCCCCGCTGCCCAGAGTCGCCGCCATCTCGGTTCCCAATCAGCAGGTCTGCCTAGCCTCCCCGCGCCCGAGGCTGAAAGAGAAGGGGGCGCGGAGCGCAGGGCACTCTGGTTATTGTAGTCCAGTCCGTACGAGCTCATGGGGCACTGGACTACAACTCCCGGCAGGCTCTGCGCGAGAGGCCGTGGGAGATGCACACAAGTAAAGGGCTTGACCTTCGACAGGAGACCAGTGGAAGAGTGTTGCTGCTAGCTGCCTGCAGCATCGCTCTCCTCATTTGTAGAGTTGCGATAGACACTTCGTCCCCGCCTAACCCTCCAGACATTCAAGGAGGGGCGACTAAGGTCCTGCCTGGTAAGGGCTTTGCAAACTATAGGCTCGAGGGTGACAGTATGACTATTATGCCCCTCAGGGATGTCTTTGAAGCATATGCTAATGCTTGTTCTGTGCAAAGTCAGTGGTAGGCCCTGGAGATTCAGAGATGGGTTTTGGAGATGCCGACTCCAGCCTTTGGAAGCTTAAGAGTCAAGAAAATAGAAAAGTGATGTAGATTTATGGGATTGGAGGGCAATCTTGGTATGCCCCTGCTGCCCCAGCTCCTCAGGCACTGGACATCAGAGGGTGTCGGGGTGGAGAAAGAAGACATGAAAAGGTATTGGGGCCGGCATTAGAGCCTCCATCTTTGCAGTTCCGGTCCTTCCTCCAACTCGTCCTACTCCAACCCCTTCTGACACCCTTTGCCTCTCTTCCAGCCCAGTTGTCTCTTTAGTCCATTCCTTTCTTTTATGAAGGATTAGACATTGAGATTAGTAAAAAGGAAATGAGAAAATAAATATTTCTGTTTCCCATCCAGTTAGGGTGGAGACTAGCAGAGAATAAAAGCAACTTTCTTCATAGGTGGATGGCTATAGTTCATCCCCAAACAAAAAATTACCCTGAATTCACTGAGATCTTACCCAAGAAGATAAAATCAATCATGATATCGACTAGAACCGACATAGGCAGTGGGGAGAGACGTATATTCCTGGACATAAATTTGGAAGGGTAAAAGCCCCAGAGGGCATGCAGTTCCAGCCTTTTCCTACAGTCACAGCCCTGGCATCACTGACATCGTGCCCACTTAAGAACTTAGAGAACAAGGCCTCTCAGTGGAAAAAGCACTGGCCTAGAAATTGTATGGGCATTATATTAATAGTTGGAGTTTTGTACAAATCATTGTGTGATCCTGAAAAACTCCTTTTTCCTTCTTCTTTGGCCTGAGTCTCCTCACCTATAAAATCAAAAGGTTGGATTCAATTCGTAGTTTTTAAATTGGGGAATCCTTAAGGCTCAATGTGTAGATGTCTCTGGGATCTTCTATTGAGGAGTGGGAGGGGGTAGGAAGGCATAGCAGCGAAGGCACTAGCACCTTAACCTTCTTCAATCAAAGCAGTTCTGCTTTTTTCTGTTTTGTATTTTGTGGTCTACTAGAGGAAAGAAAACCCACATGTTTGAAAACTACCAAACTAGTTGACCACTAAAGGCTTGTGTCATTTGTAATATCAGTTTCTCCTGGAGCACTTAAAGACAGCGTTCTTCCCCCACCCCCACCCCCTTAAGCACTGAGAAAGTAACAGTTGTCTAGAAATTTGGTCATTTTTACTTAATTTAGGAGGAGGAATTTAGCATAGTGGTTAAAAAATCCACATAGGATTCCTGTAGGACGTAATAAGATAATGCTTGTCAAGCTTTTAGCACCTCATCTGGCATGTAGTATGTGTTTAATAAATGCTAGCCACTGTTATAGAGTGGCTCGGAGGAAGAAAAACCATTTTTTATGGGTTGACACTGTAAATTAGGAGTGAAGGTGTGTGTGTTGGGTATATCGTAAAGTCTTGGATATGATTAACTGGACCCCATTTCTGCCTATCTGTCAATCATTACCTGCAAATAGGACAAGAAGCAAAACACTGCCAAAAAGGGCTGAGAAGCTGCTTTTCATGCACCCTAACCCCTGAATCCAGCCACTAAAACCAGTGATTTTCTCCCTTTCAAAAAGAGAAGAAGATGGTAAAAGCGAAATAGTATGAGAAGGTTTCGGGTCATCCTAAATCTGATGAATTTTGTATGCCCTTAAACTTGAGAGGCAAAGGAGGCCCCAGAACCATGAGATGAGTCAAAAGCGCAGCTCTGGGACACTGGATCTCTGACTACCTAATCTCATCCAGATAGCAGTGTGCTCACAGAAAGCTGGATCCTGAAGGTGCCACTTGCGCTCTGCAGCTGAGGTACCTGATCAGGGACATCTATCAGGTGGTTGAATATAAAAAGGAAGTTTTTCTGGTTTTGGGAGGCTAGACCACCTGCTCTAGAAGATGAACAGCTGAGGGTGGGGTGGACGTTGGAGTCCAGGGGCACAGGGAAAGGTCTGGAGGCACTACTTGGAGATACTAGAATACCATGAAGTCAGAGGTATTTGGCTGAGAGTGGGCTGCTGGAGCACTACTGTAGGGGTTAACTGGATTGAGAAGACGAACTATGAATAATGAGACTATTTAGGGGCAGAGCCTAGGCTCAAGAGTATTGCACAGGATTTGGGAAGCTGGGGTCTCTTCTCAAATCTTAGCAGCTGTCTGGTAGCTAAGCATCCTCTCTCCTCATCCTCTGAAACCTTCCATCCCCTTCTTTTCTAGACTTCTTTTCATTTACTTCTAGAACAGTAACAAAAATGAGTTAGCATTATGACCTTCTCAAATATTGCCAAGTATCCAAATGTATTCTTCAGTTTGTTTACCTCTCAGCTAACACTTCTGGATGAATTTTTCTTTCTTTTTTTTTGAGACAGAGTTTCACTCTTGTTGCCCATGCTGGAGTGCAATGGCCCTATCTCGGCTCACTTCAACCTCCGCCTCCCAGGTTCAAGCGATTCTTCTGCCTCAGCCTCCTGAATAGCTGGGATTACAGGCATGTGCCACCACACCAGCTATTTTTTGTATTTTTAGTAGAGACGGGGTTTCTCCATGTCAGTCAGGCTGGTCTCGAACTCCCGACCTCAGGTGATCTGCCCACTTTGGCCTCCCAAAGTGCTGGGATTACAGGCATGAGCCACCGTGTCTGGTTGAATTTTTCTTAAGATTGTATCATTTGGACTGACATGGAACTTGAAAGCTCAACATTGAGAACATTTCTGTGTCAGTTTTTGCTTAAACTCATCAGCTAGTTAGCGAAAATCGTCCCCATTGTCAAGTTCAATTTCTGTGTTTTGTAAAAGAGGAAGCTATGGGCCCAAAGGGTACAGAATGGAGATGCCAGGAGAAAGCAACTCACAGGAAGAGTGAGAGGGTAGCTGGGAAGGAGGTAAGGGAAGAGAAATTGGGATCTCCAAGGCAGTTCTCAAAGAGAAGGAGATAGGTATGGAAAGAATTTCAAAGAGGAGAGAAAGGAGGACATCCACAAACCCAGGAAAAGACTGGTGTACAGAATCACACAGTGTTTTCCAGCATATTCAAATTGAATAGAGTAGTACTAGCCAGGCTTGGGGAAACTGTGTGTCAGAGCTAGGTCAAGGGGGCCTGCAGTGATCCTTCATCTGCTAAACCATTTCACCTTAGGGTCAGCCTCAGGTTTCTTTCAGTTTTCTCCACTTACTTTTTTTATTTTTAGAGACAGGGTCTTATTCTGTCATGTGGGCTGGAGTGCAGTGGCGCTATCACAACTCACTGCAGCCTTGATCTCGTGGACTCAAGTGATCCCTCCTGAGTAGCTGGGACCACAGGCGCATGCCAATATGCCCAGCTTTTTTTTTTCTTTTTTTCTTTTTTTTTGTCGACACAGGATCTCACTATGTTACCCAGGCTGGCCTGGAACTCCTGGGTTCAAACGATTCTCTCACCGGAGTCTTCCCAAGTGTTGGGATTACATGCATGAGCCAACACGCCCAGCCTCCACTTACTTTTTAACAATGTGTGTTGAACTGTAGTGGATTCTTTTTGGTGATACTGAGGTTTGTCCTGTGCCCTATATGACTAAGATGCTGCCCCATCCAGCCCTAGAAGAAAGAAGCTGAGTAACTGATCCTCCTGTCCCACTGGGCCTGTGTATCTGAGCTGGTTTATTGGTTGCCCTCCCACAGGATGGGGGAAGAAATGAGAGAAAGACATTCTGCCACAAGTCCCCCATCCCTGCCACCTGTTCCTGCTTTAGGACCACGTAGTCCTGTGTGAGAAAGAGGAGGAAGTCATCTTATAAATGATGATCATCCTGTTGACTAGACATCAAGGATGAGATAGGTTTTCAGGGAAGCTGCAAGGGCTGCAGAAGGCTGCACTCAGATTTCCTGTCAGAGGTGGGGTCTTGGATTTGCATAAATAGTAGGATCTTCCACGAGAAACTTCCCTACTAGAGTTTGCTCCAGAGCAGAATTCAGCATTGAGTTCATCCTCTACGCCTTCCCAAAGGATAGAGTTACTTAGCAACAGGAAAATCCACATGGCTCATGTGGTACTGCGGTGTCAGTGTCAGGGTAAAAGCCTTTCAATCTCAAAGATTATTAATACCAGTTCTCGCCCTCTTCCCCCGCATATAAATACCTTGTGACTAACAGCTCATATATGCAGGTCATTGCCCAGAGTCAGGGGAAAATGTGTGGCTTTATACTGAAGATGTCAGGCGACTTTCCTAGAGTGAAGCCCCATGTCCTTGACCTGTTTAGTCCGGTATGGCAAGCAGCTGTACTGAGTGCCCATGGCAGGCAGAATAACAACAGCACAAACAGAATCCCCGACATTGTTATGTCACTGAGGGGGTTCCACCCCAATGGTGGATGTTAGACCAGAACTGGCTAGTAAGTCATGTGCTGTTGGCTGTGAGATTTAAATCAAATATATATGAATTATTTAAAATTAAAAAATATTAGCCAAGGCTGGGTGCAGTGGCTCACACCTGTAATCCCAGCACTTTGGGAGGCCAAGGTGGCCGGATCACCTGAGCTCAGGACTTCAAGACCAGCCTGACCAACATGTTGAAACCCTGTCTCTACTAAAAATACAGAAGTTAGCCAGACATGGCAGTGGGCACCTGTAATCCTAGCTACTTGGGAGGCTGGGGCAGGAGAATTGCTTGAACCCGGGAGGCGGAGGTTGCAATGAGGCGAGATCAAGCCATTGCACTCCAGCATGGGCAACAAGAATGAAACTCTGTCTCAAAAACTAGCCAAGGTGATGGCTCACACCTGTAACCCCAGCACTTCAGGAGGCCGAGGTGGGAGGATCTCTTGAGCCCAGTAGTTCGTGACCAGCCTGAGCAACGTAGCAAGACCTCGTCTCTACAAAAAATTCAAATGCATTAGCAGTTGTGGTGGCACATGTCTATAGTCCCAGCTACTTGGGAGGCTGAGAGGCAGGAGAATCGTTTGAGCCCAGGAGTTCGAGGTTGCAGTGAGCTATGATTGTGCCATTGCACTCCAGCCTGGATGGCACAGCCAGACCCTATCTTCCCTCCCCTGAAAAAATACTGTAGTATTGCTTTCATAGGTTAGGTACTCCCACAAAATAGACTCCTAGAGGCTGAGATTTGCACACTAAAGGTTTCTTGGTGAGCGCTCCTGGGGAGGCAGGAATGTGGGGAGGAGAATTGAGGCATGGGGTCCAGGTCTTCATCCGAACTCCCAACCCCGATCAGCCAATCATCAACTAGCTGTGAGTCCTCAGCAGCCAACACCCAGGTCTGGGGAACAAGTGCCTTGATCCTAAAGTGGGGCCTGGGTGCTGGTGCCCCACTGCAAGCTGTCTGCTACAATCGCTCACTTCCCAAGAATCTCCACATGTATTATCCCATTTTACCTAGCCACTAGCCAGTGATGTAGCCAGGACTAGGTAGGGGGCATTCTTCCCCGTTAGTACACAGGAGAAATGGAACTTCTGAAAATGTGAAAGGCTTGTCCAGAGCTGCTTGAGACTTGTCTCTGGCTCCCACCCAGAGTGATCTCTACTTAGCAAACTGTGTTCATTTGTTCTTACATCTAGAGTCTGTAGCACTGTGGAATATAAGAATGAGAAAAGATAGTGAAGACCAAGTCGTCCAGCCATCTCACTAAAACCTGGCAGGCATGGTGGCTCATACCTGTAATCCCAGTACTTTGGGAAGCCAAGGGAGGAGGATCACTTGATCTCAGGAGTTTGAGACCAGCCTGGCCAACACGGCAAGAGCCTGCCTCTACAAAAAAATTTTAAAAATTAGCCAGGAGCAGTGGCTCATGCCAAGAGTCCCAGCTACTTAGGAGACTGAGGTAGGAGGATTGGTTGAGCTCAGGAGCTCAAGGCTGCAGTAAGCCATGATTGTACCACTGCACTCCAGCCTGGGAGAGGGAGTGAGACCCTGTCTCAAAAAAAAAAGTAAAAATGTAAGAGAACAGGCTTGGAGAAAGGGGACAATTTCACTAAAGTCAACCTGCAAGTCTGTGCCAGGGCCCAACTTTATGACCAGATTTCCTTCACCCAAGGGCCAGTTTATATTACCTAAGATGTGCTGGGCACAGTGTGTCACACAGGAGCTACAGACATGGGCAGGTTACAGGCCCTGTCCTGGGGGATTTTAGAATACAGTAGGTTCTTTTCTCTTTTCTTTTCTTTTTTCCTTCCTTCCTTCCTTCCTCCCTCCCCCCCTCCTTCCCTCCTCCTTTTTTCCTTCCTTCCCTCCCTTCCTTCCTTCCCTCCTACCTTCCTTCCTTCCTTCCCTCTCTCCCTCCCTCCCCCTCCTTTTCTTTCCTTCCTTCCCTCCCTCTCTCCCTCTCTCTCTCTTTCCTTCCTTCCTTCCTTCCTTCCTTCCTTCCTTCCTTCCTTCCTTCTTTTCTTTCTTTCTTTCTTTCTTTCTCTTTCTTTCTTTCTTTCTTTCTTTTCTTTCTTTCTTTCTTTCTTTCTTTCTTTCTTTCTTTCTTTCTCTCTCTCTCTCTCTCTCTCTCTCTCTCTTTCTTTCTTTCTTTCTTTCTCCTTTTTCTTCTCTTTCTTTCACATCTTACCCCGTCACCCAGGCTGGAGTGCAGTGGTACAACCAACCCTGGCTCACTGCAGCCTCTACCTCCCAGAAGAAAGTGATCTCCTACCTCAGCCCCCAAGTAGCTGGGACCACAAGCATGTGCCACCACACCCTGCTAATTTTTGTATTTTTTTGTAGAGACAAGGTCTTGCCATGTTGCCCAAGCTGGTGTCTCCACGAAAATCTCATCTTGAATTGTAATCCCCATAATCCCCACATGTCGAGGAAGAGACCAGGTGGGTGGTGATTGGATAATGGGGGTGATTTCCTCCATGCTGTTCTTATGGTAGTGAGTGAGTTCTCATGAGATCTGATGGTTTTATAAGGCAGTTTTCCCTGATCTTGCTGACTCTCTCCTGCTGCTTTGTGAAGAAGGTGCCTGCTTCCCCTTCCACCATGATTGTAAGTTTCCTGACGCCTCCCCAGCCATACGAAACTGTGAGTCAATTAAACCTCTTTCCTTCTAAATTATCCAGTATTTCTTTATATCAGTGTGAAAACAGTCTAATAAAATACGATATTTTAATATTATTATTTATAATAATAAAACGGTCTTGAACTCCTACCTCAAGCGATCTTTCACCTTGGCCTCCCAAAGTGCTGGGATTACAGGCATGAGCCACCATGCCCTGCTCACTAGGTTTCTGCAGTCTCATTTTAATAGTTTTAATGAGACACAGAGAATGAAACTTTTTGTTCTAGGCCGTCTCTCTCATATCGCCTTGAGAAGTCCAAATCAGAAAAAATAGCATACTGAGAGCTGGGCGCGGTGGCTCACACCTATAATCCTAGCACTTTGGGAGGCTGAGGCAGGCAGATCACCTGAGGTCAGGAGTTCGAGACCAGCCTGACCAATATGGTGAAACCCCATCTTTAAAAAAAAAAAAGAAAGAAAAAATAGCATACTGTTGTTTCAGAATGAGTAAGCAGTATTCTCCCTGTGTTCCAAACTGCCAATTAGCTGGTTCTTATAAAGTTAAGTACTCCTGGAAAACACACATGGACAACTTCTGCCTTGATTTTCCCCAACATTCATTTCCGGACTAGTGTTATAGTAGACATGCCTAAGACTAAGAAAGCAGACCTCCTTCTCTTTAAATGACTTTCCAGTATTTCTACAATCTTCTATTCTATATCTAGGACAGAAGATAACAGTTGTATGGGGTAAGATGGGGAGGGTTTGGGTTGATGAAGTCATAGACCCATCCCCACTGCAAACCTTCCCAGTGTTCATCCCATAGCTAAGACCAAAATGATGCATGTCTACCCAGGGGCAAGTGGAGGACATTTGCCCACATCTCATTTACCTCTCCCCACTGGCATTTCCTAGTCAAAACTTATTTCTTGGTGATGACTGATTGCTGTTTACAGTCCCTTGTTTCTCTCCTTTGCTGGAGTGGTTAGTCAGTTGCCTCAACTCTATGTAATAAACCAGGTGATACTCTGGTTTCTCTTCAGGTCATATAAATCTCACCTTTTACTAAAGATCCCTGTGGAGAGGAGCAACTTTGAGTTTTTAGCTAATTTTTTTGAGGTTTTGCTTTAGCAAAACTAGTATAAAGAAGAAAAGAAAATAAAAGGAAAAAAACAATGGCTGGGTGCGGTGGCTCACACCTGTAATCCTAGCATTTTGGAAGGCCGAGGCGGGTGAATCACATGAGGTCAGAAGTTCGAGATCAGCCTAACCAACATGACGAAATCCCGTCTCTCCTAAAAAAATACAAAGAATAGCCAGGCATGGTGGCACACACCTGTAGTTTCAGCTGCTCAGGAGGCTGAAGCAGGAGAATTGCTTGAACCTGGGAGGCAGAGGTTGCAGTAAGCTGAGTTCACGCCACTGCACTCCAGCCTGGGAGAGAGTGAGATTCCATCTCAAGAAAAAAAAAAAAAAGCAACAACAACAATAAAATCCAGGTGAACCTGATAAAACCTGACAAAAACTTCCTTCTATCAACTATCAAAGTTTCTCAGAGAGCTGCCCATAGGGGCAGAAACCTGCACGTATGTCTGACCTAGGAAAGAAAGCCCCAAAGCTGCTAGAACATGCTGTTAAGAAATGTGCGTGGGAGCATAGACCTTAAATGTAATTAGACTGCAGGCCAGAAAATAATTTTAATGCAAAGTAGAAAAGATCCGTCCACCTCGTCATTTTCCTTGCTCTTGCTCTGTCGCCTCCTCTTTCCTGTGACTTTGAGAAGGTGGTAGTGTTTCCACAGCAGCTGTCCGTATAGGAAAGTGTCTCTCATCTTAGTAGCTTGCTACCAGATCTGGGGCAATGCTAGTGTCCTTTAGATCTGGAAGCTGACATGAAACAATAAAATAATTTACATGTGGTTCATTGCCTCTACTAATTCCATCTTTTCCTCCTTGTAGTCACGAGGCAGCTGCATTATCCTTGGACTCACGGGGACCCAAAGTTGCTTTTAAAGAACCTGCAAAATAAATGCATAATGGGGAAGAGTGAACTTCTTAGGAGTGGCAGGGTAGAGAAGAGGGGAGAAGAGCCTGGGTTTTTGAGAGTATCTCCTTTCTGGCCTGAAAATAGGAGGAGGAGGGGAAAGGTGAATTTGGGGAAGGAAGGCAGGAAACAGAAAAATGTACCTTCTCTGCTGAGAGACTTTGTTTGCCGTTATTCATGTTGATGTTCTTCATGGAGATGAGGGTGATGCTGTCTTTCTCTCCATTGGCTGTGGAGCAGCTGGGGGAGGAAAGGGGTCTGGGTTAAAGAGAGGAGGAGGGCAGGGCAATGGGGAGTCAAGGAACTGTGAGGTTGTTGAGCCTTCGACCTTTGTCTCGAAAAATCTATATTTTGGTGGTGGACCATTGTGAAATGAGAGTATACTTTGAAGACCAAAGGACTGCATTTATTTATTTATTTATTTATTTAGAAATGGAGTCTCACTCTGTCACCCATGCTGAAGTGCAGTGGCGTGATTTCAGCTCACTGTAACCACCACCTCCTGGGTTCAAGCGATTCTCCTGCCTCAGTCTCCTGAGCAGCTGGGATTATAGGCATGTGCCACCACGCCCAGCTAATTTTTGTATTTTTTAGTAGAGACAGGAGTTCACCATGTTGGCCAGGCTGGTCTTGAACTCCTGACCTCAAATGATCTGCCCATCTTGGCCTCCTAGAGTTCTGGGATTACAGGCGTGAGCCACTGCGCCTGGCCAAGACTTGCGTTTAAATTTTGGTTTTACTACCTACTACTTGTTTGATCTTGACCAAATTACAACCTCTATTAAAGCCTCAATTTTATTTTTTTATTTTTTATTGAGACAGGGTCTTGCTCTGTCACCCAGGTTGGAGTGCTGTGGCACGATCACAGCTCACTGCAGCCTCAACCTCCTGAGCTCACACAATCCACCTCTCTCAGCTTCCCCAAGTACTGAGATTACAGATGTGAGCCACCACACCAGCCAAAGCCTCTTTTTATTTTTTTATTTTTCCAAGACAGAGTCTTGCTCTGTCACCCAGGCTGGAGTGCAGTGGCACAATCTTGGCTCACTGCAACTTCCACCTCCCAGGGTCAAGCAATTCTTCTGCCTCAGCCCCCCTAGTAGCTAAGATTACAGGCACCCACCACTACGCCTGGCTAATTTTTAGTAGAGAGGGTTTTTAGTAGAGACAGGATTTCACCATGTTGGCCAGGCTGGTCTTAGACTCCTGACCTCATGATCTGCCCACCTTGGCCTCCCAAAGTGCTGGGATTACAGGCATGAGCCACCACACCTTGCCCAAAGCCTCAATTTTTAAAATGTATAATGAACTAATGTCTTGGTTTACACCTATAATCTCAGCACTTTGGGAGGCCAAGGCAGAAGGATCACTTAAGAGGAGTTTGAGACCAGCCTGGGCAACATAGTGACATCCCATATCTATTTAAAAAATTAAAAATTAGGCTGGGTGCGGTAGCTCATGCCTGTAATCCCAACACTTTGGGAGGCCAAGGCGGGTGGATGACCTGAGGTTAGAAGTTCGAGACCAGCCTGGCTAACGTGGTGAAATCCCATTTCTACTAAAAATACAAAAAATTAGCTGGGCATGGTGGCACACACCTGTAGTCCCAGCTACTTGACATGCTGAGGTGGGAGGATCGTTTGAGCCCTGTTGGCATCATTGTGCTCCAGCCTGGGCAACAGAGCAAGTCTGTCTCTTTTAAAAATAAAAAATTAGGGGGGAGGGAGGGAAGAAAAAAATAATTAGCCTGGGTGCCATGGTTCACACCTGTAATCCCAGCACTTTGAGAGGCCTAGGCAGGTGGATCACCTGAGGTCAGGAGTTCGAAACCAGCCTGGCCAACGTGGTAAAACCCATGGCTACTAAAAAGTACAAAAATTAGCTGGGCGTGGTGGCAGGCGTCTATAATCCCAGCTACTTGGGAGGTTGAGGCAAGAGAATCGCTTGAACCTGGGAGGCGGAGACTGCAGTGAGCCAAGATCACACCATTGCACTCCAGCCTGGGGGCAAGAGTGAGACTTCATTTCAAAAAAAAAAAAAAAAGTTATATGTACCTTGAATAATTGCTATAAAGATTTGAGGTAATATTATAAAATATATACCTTTATATTTGGCACATAGTAGGTACAAGTGGTTCCTAAGCTTAGAGAGAATGTCTTTTTATATTAGAATCTGAATTCCCACACTTCCATGATGGGGCTATAGAGGCTTAGCCCTGGGGGTGAAGAGTCGGTCTCCTGTCACTGCAGTGTTCCCTTTCAGGTCTGCCCCTGTCCTGCCCACCCCAGCCGTGGCCTCAGGGGAGCCTATCAGGATTGTATGTGTGTGTATGTGTGTGTGGAGTGAGGGGTGTGTATGTGTGGTATAAGGTAAGTGGTGTGAGGTGTATGTGTGTGTGGTGTGGAATGGGGTGTGTATGTGGTGTGAGGTGTGTGTGTGGTAGGGAGTGTTTGTGTATAGCATGATGTGTGTGTGTGGTATGGGGTGTATGTGTTACATGTGGTGTGTGTTGTGTATGTGTGGTATGGAGTATATGTGTATGGTGTGGGGTATGTGGTGTGAGGTGTTGAGGGGCGTGTGTGTGTGTGTGGTGTGATGCATGTGTGGTGTGGTGTGTGTATGTGGTGTAGGGGGTGTGTATGTGTGGTAGGTGCGGTGTGAGGTATATATGTATATGTGGTGTGTGTGTATAATATGGGGTGCATGTGTGTTTTGTGTGATGTGTGGGTGTGTGGTGTGTGTGGTTTGGGTGGGTGTGTGGACTGTGTGTAGTATGAGGTGTTTGGTGTGTGTAGTGTAAGGTATGGAGGTGTGTGGTGTGTGTGTAGTATAAGATATGAAGTATGTGTGTGGTGTGGGGTATGTGTGTATGGTATAGGATGATGTGTGGTGTGTGTGTGTGGTGTATGTGTGTGGTTTGGGTGGGCATGTTGGGTATGAGGTGTGGGGTGTGTGATGTGTGTGGGATGTGGGTATGTGTAGTGGGGTAAGGAATGTGTGGTGTGTGTGTGGTTTGGGTGGGTGTGTGGGGTATGTGTGTGGGGAGGGTGGGTGCATATAGTATGGGTATGAGGGTGGGTATGGTGTGGGTGGGTGTGTGGGGTTAGGGTGTGGGATATGTGTGTATGTGTGTATAGTATAGGATATGTGTGTAGTGTGAGTGTGTGTGTTTGGAGTGGATGCGTGGGGTATGGGGCATGCTGTGTGTTTATGGTGTGTGTGGGATGTGTGTGTATAGTATAGTGTGTGTGTGGTGCATGGGGTGTATGTGGTGTATGGGTATGTATGTGTAGTGTGGGGTATGGGATATGTTGTGTGTTTGTGGTGCAGGTGGGTGTGCGTGTGGTATGTGGATGTGTGTGGGGTGTGTGTGTAGTGTATGGGTATGTGTGCATGGTGTGGGGTGTGGGATATGTTGTGTGTTTGTGGTGTGTAGGGATGTGTGTGTGAGTGTGGGGTATGTCTGGTATGTGGGTATGTGTAGTGTGGGGTATAGAGTGTGTGGTATGTTTGTGGTGTGCATGGGTGTGTGTGTGTGTGTGTGTGTGTGTGTGTAGTACAGGGTATGTGTGGGGTGTGGGGTGTGAGGCCTGTGGTATATTTGAGGTGTGTATTTGAAGGGGTGTATAGTATGGGGTGTGTGTGGTTTGTGGGGTGTGTGTGGTAGGTGGGTATGTGTGTGTAGTGTGGGCTGTGGAGTGTGTGGTGTGTTTGTGGTGTGTGTGGGGAGGTATGTATAGTATGGAGTGTGTGGTGTGTGTGTGTAGTGTGGGATGTGGAGAGTGTGGTGTATTTGTGGTGTGTGGGTGTGTGTATAGTATGGAGTGTGTGTGGTGTGGGATGTGTGGGGGATGTGTGGTGTGTGGGTATGTGTGTGTAGTGTGGGGGGCGGGGGTGGAGTGTGTTTGAGGTGTGTGTGAAGGTGGTCTCTATAGTATGAGGTGTGTGTGGTGTGTGGTGTGTGGTGTGTGGGGTGTGTGTGAGATGTGTGGGTGTGTGTATAGTGTGAGATGTGGTGTGTTTGAGGTCGTGTGTGTATAGTATGGTGCATGTGTGGTGTGTCGGGTGTATGGTATGTTTGTGATGTGTGTGTGTGAGTGTGCATATAATATGGGGTATGTGTGTGGTGTGTGGTGTGTGTGGTGTGTGGGGTGTGAGTGGTGTGTGGTGTGTGTGTCTGTAGTGGGGTGTGGGGCATGTGGTGTGTTTGAGGTATGTGGGGGGGTGTGTGATGTGTGTGGTGTGGTGGTGTGTATGTGTGTAGTAGGGTGTAGGGCATGCGGTGGGTTTGGGGTGTGTGGGTATGTGTGTGATTATGGGGTGTGTGTGTGATGTGTAATGTGTGTGATATGTGGGTATATAGGTGTGTACACTGGGGTGTAGGGTGTGTGGTGGGTTTGTGGTGTGTGTGTGTGTGTGTGTGTGTGATTATGGGTGTGTGTGGTGTGTGGGTATGTGGGGGGGTGTATGTGGAAGGCAGGAAATGTTGGCTCCCTCTGGGAGCTGGGGTCTGGGTGTAACATAGAAGATTCTTCTGGAGGTCTTACCTTTCAGACAGCCCTGAACTCCCAGGTTTCTGGGGATCTATAAAAAACCAAAGGCACAGGTTGGGGGTCACATGCTGTAACTCTGAAGTCCAGTCTTCCCCTCAAAGCCCACCTGGGGTCCCCCTGCTCATGGAGTGGCACTCATGTGCCATTCCTTCCCGTAGCTGCAGGGGATCCCTGAGGGCAGGGCGCGCACCTTCAGACTCCTTGCTCTTCCGACACTTGAACCTCAGGCTGACCACAGCGACGAGGATGATCACCACAACCACCAGAATGACAATGAAGCTGATAACACCTGAACAGAGAAAAGAATGGGGTGAAGGGGAGCCAGTTGGGGAGACAAAGGAGCCAACGAGAGTCCGGCATTCCCTTCCTAAGTACTGTGTAGACAGACTCCAGGAGCAAAGTGAGTTCCACTTCTCTGCTGAATAGCTGAGCTTTTAGCCTGCCGCCCCCTGGGCAGAGTGGGCTCTCCAGCCCGACTCCATCCCCCCATGAGAGCATGGAACCCAGCACAGCCAAGAAGAGCTGTCTGGAGGGCCAGGGGTCCCACAAGGGCCTTCCTCATCAGCCAGAACCTCCTGGAACAAATGAGTGAGATTTGAACTTGTGTTTCGAGACCTAGAGTCCAAGTCAATTCCAGGGGTGAGGTTTCCCCCCATGTCCCACCTTCTCCCGCTCTCACCAAATGCAGCCACGGTGAGCACAGTCTCTGACGTGGGTTTGGGCAGGATGGTCACATCTTCCTTCGTGCTCAGGCTCATGGTGGTTGAATTGGGAGGAACATTTTGAGATGTGTCTAAAATGGAGTGGGGTCAGGGGCATCAGGGAAGGGGACTGATACAGCCTATCAGAGAGAGCTAGCTTCCCTCCGGCTTCCCCCTTCCTAGGGATTTATGCTGCAGAGCTGGGAGGCCAGACTGGGCAAAATAGAGCTGTCTGTGTTGTGCCACGGTTGAGGTGGGAAGAATGCATCTGCTCAGGTACAGATCCAACAAGCCAGGCTGCCTGTTAAGGGGCACAGACTTCTGGCCCTCTTTTTTTTTTTTTTTTTTGAGACGGAGTATCACTCTTGTTACCCAGGCTGGAGTGCAATGGTGCGATCTCCGCTCACCGCAACCTCCGCCTCCTGGGTTCAGGCAATTCTCCTGCCTCAGCCTCCTGAGTAGCTGGGATTACAGGCACACGCCACCATGCCCAGCTGATTTTTTGTATTTTTAGTAGAGATGGAGTTTCACCATGTTGACCAGGATGGTTTCGATCTCTTGACCTCGTGATCCACCCGCCTTGGCCTCCCAAAGTGCTGGGATCACAGGCTTGAGCCACTGCGCCCGGCTCGGTTTCTGGTCCTCTTAAAAAAATGCTATGTTGGCCGGGCACGGTGGCTCATGCCTGTAATCCCAGCACTTTGGAAGGCTGAGACGGGCAGATCACTTGAGATCAGGAGTTTGAGACCAGCCTGGCCAATATGGTGAAACCCTGTCTCTTAAAAAAAAATACAAAAATTAGCCAGGCATGGTGGCACATGCCTGTAGTCTCAGGAGGCTGAGGCAAGAGAATCACTTGAACCTGGGAGGTGGAGGTTGCAGTGAGCTGAGATCACACCACTGCACTCCAGCTTGGGTGACAGAGATAGACTCCATCTAAAACAAACAAACAAAACACAAAAAAATACTAGCTGGGCCTGGTTGTGCATGCCTGTAATCCCAGCTACTCGGGAGGCAGAGGTTGCAGAGAGTGGTGATCGCACCACTGCACTCCAGCCTGGGCAACAGAGTGAGACTCCTTCTCAACAACAACAAAAAAAGGTGCTATGTCACCTGTGTCTTCCCTCCTCAACCCATTGTACTTCAGGCCCAATTACTGTTCCACTCCCTTCTCTCTCCTCACTCCCTGATCCCAAGTAAGTCTGGGAGAGTAAAAAATCCAAGAGCCAAGGGATAAGATGAGAGACAGGGCCACAGACATCTCCTGCCGCCTCCTCTTCAGGGTGAGCGCAGCAGGACATACCTCTGTTTGTGCCTCCGCCTCTTCTACTGCTGGGGACACCTGCGCCTGTGCCATGAAACAGCATGACCAAGATGAGGCATCCCGCACCAGCTCTTCTTCCTCGCTGCCTAGCCAGGGCCAACCCACCCTACCTCAGAGGAGTCTAGCCCTTTCCCAGCCTTTTCTGCCTCCCTTTTCCTTCATTTTGGGGTCTCCTTCCCCTCTCTCTCCTCTCTGGCTATGCATTTCTCAATCTCAAGTCTAAGTTCCTTTTACCTGCATTGTGACCAGGCCCAAGTTCCTGTCTCTACACCCCACCAAGCCTCTTTCCTGAACCAGGTGCCACTAATGTGGGTCCTGACTCCTGCGGCCTCCTGAAGAGGGTGGAAGGAGCCATCCAGATGGAACCCAGTGTCCTTCACCACTGCCCCTGCCCTGGACACTCACCAAGTCCTGATGTGTGCATCTGTGGCTTGGCCCGAGTGACGCCTAGCCAGGTCGGGGAGAGCCCATCTGCGGTGCCTGCCCTTGGCGTCATGGGTTTACTGGCTGCCATGGGGGCCTGCGCCACCTTCTTTGGAGCTGCTGTGAATGAGGAAGCACGTGCGGGCCTGCTCAGGGCCTCGGCCAGCCTGTGCACTGGAAGGGCTCCTCAGTCCAAAATCTTCCTCTTCTTTCCTGCTTTCAGTTCCAGAAGGGGCCATTCTCTCGTTCAGCTCTGGGCAGTTCCCTCTGCCTGGAATTAGCCCCACTACCCTCCATCCCACAGTCTCCACGTGCTCAGCTGACCCTTCTGGCTCAGCTTCAGAGGCCACTTGCTGGGAATCATCCCTGGCCCCCCAAGTCTAAAGTGACTTATGTGTGCCTGGGCTCCCACGCTTCTGCTTGTGCCCACCGCAGCCCTTCTCACCCTGCATGTCATCATCAATGTGAGGTTCTGTTTCCTTGTCTGTTCCCCCCACCCCGCCCCAGGCTATATTCTCTTTTAGAGCAGAAACTGTGTCGGGGTCCTCCCTGGGCCTCCCTGGATGGCGTTTGTAGTCTGAATGGTACAGTACCTGGGGTCCTGGCGCTGGGCACATGGCTTGGGCTGTTAGCCTCTGAGGAAGGGATGTATCCTGCAAGGACAGAGGCAGATGGGGAGTTGGAGGTGGGGCAGATTTGGTGACGCCACACTCCCTCACCCATCCAAGAACCCCTGGGCTCCAAGCAGGTCTGAATGAATGGGTGTGGGCAGGAGCAGGGACCTCAGCAACCGCACTCACTCACCTGGGTTGGGAGAAACGGGCTCTGTGGTCAGACTTAGGCTGCCAAAGCCTCCTGAAACAGATCATCTGAGGCTGAGGGGTGCACTGCCTCCTACTGTTCATCTCCCTGTCTTCTTCCCTAGATCTGTGTGTCTTTCTCCCTACCTCATCCCCCACCCCTCACCCCTAACCATTTGCCTCTTTTTTCTTTCAAGGCACATGAGACTGGGTGAGGCTGAACAAAAAAATCCTTAGATGAGCTCAGCCTTGGTGAGTCCTGAGAGCTCCCCCTCCAGCCCCAGCCCCAGCCACAGCCACCTGAGGTTAACGCTAAACTGGCATAGGGCTCCTCTCACCCTTCCTAAGCTCCCAGGTCTACATGCTGGAGTAGACCCATGTGTTCGGTCTTACCCTGAGAGCTAGAGGTCTGGGTCGCTGTGGGCTCGGAGTTGTGGCCTGCAAGAGAAAGCAAAACATGTATCTTGGTAAGTCCCCTGCTCAGCACAGAGCCCAGAGAGGAATCCTTAGAACGCCTTCTGGCCCAGCCTGAGCAACATAGCAACACCCTGTCTCTAAAAAAAAGATTTTTTTTTTAAATTCTCCAGTCATGATAGTGCACACCTGGAGTCCTAGCTACTCAGGGGTGGGGGATGGGGTAGGGGGAAAGACACACAGATCTAGGGAAGAAGACAGGGAGATGGAACAGTAGGAGGCAGCACACCCCTCAGCCTCAGATGATATTTGGGAGGATTTCTTGAGCCCAGGAGGTCTTGGCTGGCTACAGTGAGCTATGATTGCACCACTGCTCTCCAGCCTGGGCAACAGATGGAGACCCCATCTCAATAAGAAAGAAAGAGAGAGAGAGAAAAGAAAAGAAGGAAGGAAGAGGAAGAAAAAAGAAAACAGAAAAAATCCTTTTGGCTTTCTAAGCCTACCACGCTGGAAGGCAGACACACTAGGCAGAGGCCTAAAGGATGTGGGCTGTAGCTGATGGGTGCCGGCTTCCTCTGAGATTATGACTCAATAGCATCATCGCCACCACCTCATGGCTCAGGGTCCCAGAGTCCTTTCCTGTCTCTTCAATCTGACATGGGCATTTTACCAACCTGACACAGAGTCAGGGGAAGGTTGTTTTAAACTGGGGACATTTCTAAGGACAGAGGATCAGTGACCTGCCATGACTATGCAAGGAAGGGCCCAGGACTCCAGGTCTCTAGGCTCATGTTTACCCTAAGCCAGTGTCATCCTGGTCCTGCCCCCAGGGAAGGGGCTGAGCGATGGGAAGGTGAGTGAGATGGGGATGGGGATTAGGGCTTGTATCTTGGCTGGAGGTAGGGGCCTGCGCAGGAAGGAAGTTCCGAGGTAAATATGCGAGGCAGGAAAGCTCTAGCATGAGCAGCCCGTTCACTCTTACAGGCAGAGGATACGTCAGAAATGGCTGTTATTGACCAAACCCAGAGAGGGGTCAGTCACCAGGAGTCCCTAGTCAGAAGCCCTCACTGGCTTTTTTGTAGGCACATGTGTGTCTGCGGGGCTCTATGCAAAGTGTGTGTATGCTCCTGTGCCCCTGTGTGTCCTGCTGTGTATGTGGAACCTGAAAGGTCAGGTTGCATTTGCTCATTTTCCACAATGAAATCATTCTTGAAACCTGTGAACAATGTGAAAGGAAAACAACGTGGGGAAGTGGAGCCGCCCAGCTGGGTTCCCGTCCCTCTGCTTGAGCAGGGACTGCAGCCCCTGGCCTGGCTCTCCTGCTCCCCTGGTCTCTCACCATCAGGGAAGCATTCAGCCCAGGCCTGGGTGGACAGAGGCGGCCAGGTGCCAGGGACCCACCCCAGCCTGTGGCAGCCTGCTGTTCTGCTTATTTTTCTTAAGCCACTGCCTTCCTCCATGGGGCTATCACTTGGATAGTATAGAATTAATTGTTTCCAAGTGTAAAATTGCCAAACCCTGGGCCATGTTTTTCTAGATTACCATTTCTGAGAGCCCCATTCCCTTGTTGGGGGAGGGGAATGGTCAAGAGGGGAGTTAAAATTTGTGGGAAGCTCAGGCTAGAGAACACCCTTTCCAGCTGGGGATGACTGGGAGAATCCTTTTAACCCAAGGCATGTCCTGAAAACATCTATCAGTTACTAATCCAGCATAGCTAATGTAGTTTTTTTTTTTTTTGCATTCTTCATTTTATTTGCATTTCCCAACAACTCATCTCAGATACTAAATTCAAAAGAAAATGTAGTTCCTCAGTATTAGCACTAATTTATGGTAACAATCATTTCTTTTCAATATCCAACTTATTTTACCCTTCATTTTAAATTGCAGATTAAAGCATGTATTTACATATTTATACACAAAAAACTTCAAAAACAAATTAATCCCCATCTTGGTCCAAGAGTTTCCACTTTAGAAGTGTATGGTACTATGCTATATACATCCTCTTCCAAAAGTCTCTTAGGACTTGGTAAGTTCCAAATATTCATTCACAAATGGTTCCCCTTTAAGCTTAATGAAGCATAATACTTCATTTCTGAGCAAATGAGAGGAAATATTACAGAACAAGCTTTGTACAATACAGCACCACTACTGAGAAGGGCTCGAGGTTTTGTAATCCAAGGTTCCGACTTAAAGCAAAAATATATGGCATACACTGCTAATGTAGTTTTTTATTTTAGAGATGGAGTTTCACTCTTGTCGCCCAGCCTGTAGTGTGGTGGTGCCATCTCAGCTCACTGCAAACTCTGCCTCCTGGGCTCAAGCGATCCTCCTGCCTCAGCCTCCCAAGTAGTTGGCACCTGCCACCATGCCTGGCTAATTTTTGTATTTTGTATTTTTAGTAGAGACGGAGTTTCACCATGTTGGCCAGGCTGGTCTCAAACTCCCAACCTCGTGATCCACCCACGTCGGCCTCCCAGAGTACTGGGATTGCAGGCGTGAGCCACTGCGTCCAGCCTAAATGCTGTAAGGTTATAACTTAGTTTTTGGTGGGAAGGCACAGGAAACTGCCCTCCTGCATTTATCTAGAAAGAAAACTATTTGGTGGCTTGGGAAGAGTTCCAAAGTCACAAGCTTCAAGACCCACTGGCCTGACCTTTCTTTGCCTCTTGCCCCTCCCCCTACCCAAACTTCTTGTCAGCCACAAAGATCCCTCTGTGAGTAGGGGAGGGGCTTAGGGAGCATCTGTGTCCACAGCCAGGGGTGTCTCTGACAACTGGGCATGCAGAGACCCGAAGAGCTCCAGCCACAGGAATTTCTGATTTCCCTGGTCTCCCCGCTCTAATCCTTGTCTGCTTTGTTCCCTTCTAGTCTATCTCCACACACACCCCTCCCCATTTTCCTCAAGAGCATAGTTTAGTAGTTAAAATCATGAATTTTAGATTCTAACAAGCCTGAGTTCAAGTCCTGGCTTTGTCACGGTCTGACCTAGGCCTCAGTTTTCCTTACTTTAAAGTGCAAGTGACCAGCCTGGGCAACATGGTAAACACTGTCTCTACAAAAAATACAAAAATTAGCCGGGCATGGTGGCATGTGCCTATAGCCCCCAGCTACACAGGAGGCTAAGGCAGGAAGGTTGCTTGAGCCCAGGAGGTCAAGGCTGCAGTGAGCCATGATCATGCCACTGCAGTCTGGCCTGGGCAACAGAGTGAGACCCTGTCTCAAAAATAACTAAGTAAAATGCAAGAGGTATTAGTACCTCGAAAGTTGTCGTGAGGGAAGGAAAACACATATGAAGCACTTAACACAGTGCCTGACATGCTCAATGAACGCCAGACACTTTGGTTTTTGCCCCATTCTCTCGACTCCTCCAAGTCTCAGGTCTGCCCTGCCTCTGGGTATCCGCAGCCAAGTCCCTCTGTGGGCCTAAATGTGCTCAGGGTTCCTCAGTCTGTCGAGATGAAGGAGCCGGGAAGTGCTCTGAGTGCTTCAGGATGAGAGGTTAGGAAACCAGGTGGTGATCGTGGCTTAGGTAGAGCTGATACAGGGCATTTGAGAGCCCTGGCACTTGCCTGGGAGAAAACAGTGGGTAGGGAGGCTGGGAACAGTCTAGGCCTGTGAAAATGCCACCTCAGGAGCCTCACCTGCAGTTCCCACAACAGCCTAGTCCCCCAGACCAAGACCTGTGACTCTGTCCTGGAGGGGGTAGGCGGGGATGGGGACAATCAGAGTTTTGTCCTCCAGCCCATGGGCTTTTAGAGAAATGCCTGACCTCTCCAGGAGGCAGCGTTCTGGTACTCTGGCCCTCTTACCCACCACCGACGGGGGGCCACCACCCCACCCCATCTGAGCCCTCTTGCATGCTCTTTCTGCTGCTTTGAGCTCAGAGGACTTGTGGAGGGTGAGGTGGGGGCTGGGCAGGGATGGTCAAAGGGAAGTTGCTGCCCTGTGAGTCAGAATGTCCTGAACTTGTCATGATTCCCAGCAACTGCTCCCTGATGAGAGGACCCCTATGAGCAGCTTCACAACTCATTGGCTGGCAGAGCCTGTCGGAGAGGCACCATTTCCAAGTAGCCTCCTCTGGAAGTCATCTCCTCTAGCCCCCTGGACGTGAGAATGTTATGTACATCCTCCTTGGTGAATAGTTCTTTGTGTAGTGTCTAACCTGAGCCCCTCTTGCTATGATTTAAGTTGAAAATCAATATGTGGAATTCCTAGGTTGCTACTTCTCATGTGAAAGGAGAACAGATCCTCTGTGAAGCCCAAGGTGCAAACGATTTGTGTTAGAGCAGTTGATAGAGTGGCCGTCATCAGCCCGGCCCCAAGATCAGAGGGTGAGGCTCCACAAGCAGCCACAGGTGTCTCGGGCCGCGTACATCCTAGAAGAGCTTTTGAGCCTGGAACTCACACTAACACAGCTGCTTCTCACAGTTGAGGAGGCCAGCCTCTACCGGGAGCCCAGCTCCCCGTGGACAATTTCCCACAAGAGGGTTTCACTGTAGCTCCATTTTACCCCTGCCTGGTAGTCAGGACCCCCTAATCCAACTGATCCCCTTCATGGAAAGGCTCTGGAATTTCCCTTGGGCACAGCCCTGGATGGAAAGCGTGTGTGTCCTGAGAAGGGGGCCGGCGCCCAGGACTGCCAGCTGCCGAGAGGAATTGTGAGGGAAAGCAGCAGGGGCCTCTTACCTTGGAGCAGGAGGAAGCCCAGTATCGCCCAGCAGAGCTGCGTGGCTCCTGCGGTGCCCATGTCAGCTGGGTGTGTGGCGGGCAGGCAGCAGCTCAGTGGAGGCTCTATCCATAGTGGAGAAGAGAGAGGGAGTGCTGGGGCGGGGTGGGGGTGGGGACTGGCTCTCCAGGAGCTTCCTGTGAAAGAATAGAAGGAAACACGTTGGGACTAGTTCCAGGGGTCCTGCTCAGCCGTGTCCAGATGAGGACATGAGGCTGCAGCAGGGACTGTGCCCGCCCAGCGTGGCCTCTAGGGCCTATGCATGATGACCATCCACAGCCACCTGGCCCCATCCCCATTCTCTTCTTGAATCTAACACCAATCCCACCCCATACTGTTTCAGATGGGGTTCTCCTCTTCCAGGATTTAGCCTGGAAACCCAGCCCACCAGCCGCCCATGCTCTGTGGACTCTGAATTCTCCACATTCCTCTCCTTCCTCAGGGATCCCAATGCAGATAGGACTCCCCACATCTTTCAGAGAGGCCCTACACCCATGATTATTTTTCATTTTTTTCTTTTTTTTTAGAGATAGAGTCTGGCCGGGCACTGTGACTCATGCCTGTAATTCCAGCACTCTGGGAGGCTGAGGCAGGAGAATCAAGAGATCAGGAGTTTGAGACTAGCCTGGCCAATATGGTGAAGCCTCATCTCTACTAAAAATACAAAATTTAGCCGCGGTGGCATGCGCCTATAGTCCCAGCTACTCAGCAGGCTGAGGCAGAAGAATCCCTTGAACCCAGGAGGCAGAGGTTGCGATGGGCCAAGATTACACCACTGCTCTCCAGCCTGGAGACTCCAGCCTGACAATGCGAGACTCTGTCTAA